CAATAATAACGGCAGTCACAACCACAACGACTACCACAACAACAACAGCAGCATCAACAACAACAGCAGCAACAACAACAGAAGCAGCATCAACAACAACAACAATAACAACTACTACTACTAGTTTCCCACGAATAACATTTACGACACCCACGCTCAATTTCTTAAACGAGACACGGCTCTATCTTCTTTTTGTATTAGGAAGTGGAGCTCGAGTTGTTGACACCCCGTTACCCATGCCGATTAATCAAACCGAAGTATAATACATGAGATAATATAATATTCTTCTAATAATTATTTTAATTTTGAATAATAGATTGAAAAAGTTTTACTACGTGCACTGAATGAAATGTATAACAAAACGAATCTAACCGTAGTTCCGCATTAGTAAATATTAAGGAATTTAAAAATATTATTCATTATTTTATATTTGTATCCATAGTTATATATCAGATATTATAATTGAATATCTTGTTGTTTTGAACATATCATTGAATGCTACTCAACGTTTGAAAATTGTCAATGAATTTTTTAATCCAAATGTTAGTAGAAATGATAGTTACAAATTGATAGTACGAATGGTTATAAATGATGTAACTGGAAAGATAGGTAAATGTAATCATAGAACAATACAGTGATTAATATTTATTAATATTTATTATATTTTTAGAAAATTTTACCGAAGCACAACGTCTTTGCAAAGAGTGTGAACTTTTGGGACATGGTGATTGTGATACGACTTCAGATACATGCATATGTTATCCTAATTTCGAAGGTGAATTTTGTCGTACCGACGTAACAACATCAACAATATCAACAACGTCAACAACTTCACAACCACCATCATCATCGACAAATTGGACAGTTATTGTTGCTGTTATAAGTGCTATAGCTGGTCTTCTTCTAATTATTTCTCTTTCCATGTGTATTTATATTATTAAAAAACGTGCTGATTCCAAAGCTAAGTAATAATTCACAAAAAGAAAGAACTTTGATTAAATAATTTTTGTTTTCAGAAAAATAAAACAATTAACAGAAAGTAAACAACCTACCATTCCTGGAGCTCATCTTCCAACAATTGGTGCTATTAGCCAAGGTACAATCGGTTCTACTGATTCGAGCCGTGCTGAAAATGAGAAACAAACTAATGATGCATCTGATACATATTCATCTACTTCAACAACAACTTACAATCCAACTTATCATACAAATGAAGATCCCCAACATACATCATTACCAAGTGGTCCTATACCACAAA